GACATCAGTTTGTTTTTTCTTGTGTGACTCTTCAATCGACGAATTGATTACCTCACACTTTCAAACAAGGCAGGAAGAATTTTACCCGGTAAAAATAAAAGCGTAAAATAAAATGTATGTGAAGTAAGCAAAAAACAATTAGGTTGCACTACCTTCGTAACCATCCGATGAAGCTGTTGAAAAAATACAATAGGATAAAAAATATCTGAAATTAATTGTATGCACACAGGTACTCAATATAAACATATATACGTATAGCCAAATAACAAATAATGAATAGCAGTTGTCCATCAAGTTGCAAACAGTATGCCAAAGAAACAAAAGTGATATCTTTAAACCAAATTTTGTAATGATCACCACCTCTATAACACCATCAAGTTCATTTGTTAATTACTATTTACCAATTATAAGAGAGGCAATGTACTCATATTTAATCAATCGAATAATGCATTTAAAAAAGTTGATGACAATTATAGATCGTTAGTTAAGTACTTTACGCATTGAACCGTCATTTACGTAAATGATCAAAGAGTTTTATAACAGTATAATGATTTATTGGATAATACACCCAAGTCATGCAAATCAAAAATACCATTTACGACCAATTATTTAATCAATAAGGAGCTCTACAAGATCTGTCTGGAGAATAATAATCCTCTAGCGACTTCCTGACATAATTTATCACTAACTACTAAATAACGATCGAATAAAGATGTCCTTGAACGAAATAGTACTTTACACTTCAACAGAAACACAATTTGCCAAAAGTATCATACCAAAACTGTTAAAACAAGACTAACTCTCCAGAAAAAAAAAACGAAAATGCAATTGTTCAGTGTGGTCGAGATCACAGATCTAAAATATTAAGAGAATAAACAGACTGTTATAAAATTCTCCACATAAAGAGAAAATTATACCATTCTGAATATATCCACAAACGTTTTTAGAAATAAAGCTTATAGGAAACTTTATTAAATTTTACACAGACCGAAAAACGAAGTAGTAAATTAAAATATAGAGTACCATCAAGTAGAAAAAGTACTGTTTTGGACAAAGTGGACTTTTCCTTCAACTATGTACACACGAAAACAGTAACAGTCAGGTTACGTGATATATCATTTATATAAACAAAAGTGAACAACTATAGACACAGATATAATTGGGAAAATGTTTGGATCCTGGATAACGGAAATTCCAGGAGGCCCAAATAATTTCTGTAAGCAGCTAGTGAGATTATCAAGTACAGCCGGGGACCTGGGATATATATATATATATATATATATATATATATATATATATATATATATATATATATATATATATCACCTCGATGTACTATACGAGATCAGGAAATCAACCAGCTACAAAATACGACCAGGAACATATATGCATCGATCCAAGTTGACACACCTCAATAACACAAAAATATGAACACCGGATTTATAGAAGTAGTTCAGTGATGGTAATATATAAACGAAAGATTGAATATAAGGACAGCAAGACAAATTCTAGCGTAGTAGAAGTATTAATAGTGTCAGTAGGAATAGAAGAGATTAGATGTAGAAAAATAAGGAAAGATATAAGGAGATTTCAAGATTTAGATTCTAAAATAAGGCAAGGAGTGAGTAAATCTGCGCCACGTTTATTACACCTATAGTCCAGAGTGACGATGATAGTTTATCAACAAATCTAAAAAAAAACTGCCTATTATAAGTAGAACGAATAGGCAGTCAACTTAATTTTGACTTGTAAAAATCATTAAAGAATAAATAACCATAAACCAGATAAAACGACTACATTTATTGATATCTATCTTATTTATCAAAAAAAGTTAACCGATTCATCCCAGGTTATGATGAAAATGCACATGGATTTTGTAATGACTTTATTTCTGGCTTGTTATCACGTGACTTATCTGTCAATCAAAATACGATTTATACAATCTTCACACAGTGCTAAACCAATGACGTCCGACCGGTATGAGCAGCCTAGCGTCCTTATTGGTCCTATGTTCGCCTAGCCCGTCCACGTGAGTCCAGAACACCAATACCAGATTCCACTATGCGAATCATTTATTTCAGACATACTGGGTTTATATATCAACCAAATAGACCGCAACGCACCATAACATCCATACACAATAAAGCCAAAAAGTGGCTGTGAACGTGGGAGACGGTAATTAATAAACTGAGTATAACTTAGGAACAGTAAATCGCACAATAATAATCTATTGGTCAAAATGAAGCTTATTATAAGAGGAATATAGATATACACAATCTAATTACTGAATAGTTATACCATAAGAATATATAGATAATATTATTCAGTTAATTTGGCTCAGAAGTTACTCGTGATTTAATCTTCACTTGGATATAACAGAAGATTTCAAAATGCACAATATCTCATTATTATTACTGAAGTAAATATTAACCATATGTTAATTATTAACATTGAAAATAGATATCTCAAGTCTGGAATGAATCGATGACCTGAAAAGTCGGCTAAAATCAAGTTGATTTAATAAATTTGTGCATAATCGTGATTTAATCTTCGCTCGGATATAATAGATCTTTTTCATGATAATTAATTTGTTCAAATAATTATTAAGAACAACAAAGAGAAATACTGCATATAGTCATTTCTTATTTATCGAAATACTTCAAAAGTACCTTAAAGGTTAGAGTTATATATTTGAAACAGCGAAAGAATACAAAGAAATATTTTTCAATTATGAACACTAAAATCATAGCAAAACAACATGATAAAAGTGTAAAGACAAGTTCAAGCAATTCTCAAGATGATCATCTGATCATGAAGACACTTCCAACTAACTAGCAAAGAGTTTGTACAAAGCAAAAAGTATTACACAGTAGAGATAATAAACCGTGTTAAGGTTTTGTCATTTTTATACATTTGCTAGTTTATCAAAGCTCATTATTAGTTATTTCTAACCTTAATATTGTAGAAATGTTGTTACGTAACTTCATGAATCTAAGTGAATATAATTTAACACTGAAATTTTCTATCTGAATTCTTCCATAAAGTCAAAAATCTTTTATAAAACAATTTGTTGAAGGTTTACAGAAACGGGATGTTGTTGGCGTTAAGTTGAAAAATGAAACTCATCAGTCAGTCAGCTACAACGAAGGAACAGGCACCTATGTGCATCGATCCAAGTTGTCATACCACATTAGCACAACAACATGAACACCAAATTCATAGAAGTAGTTAATTAAGTGGTGGTAATGTACAAAAGAAAGATTGCATATAAGGATATAATAAGGGAAAGAATAATTAGTTGGTAGAAGAAAAGATACGAAGCGATTTTCATCTCATAGTTTAAGGGAAGACAAAGAATGTATGCACCTACGTCATTGTGATCGATTCTGAGCCATGTCACACAGTCTCTAACCATTGGTTACGATAGTCACACGGAAAACAATCAAGTACTCTGCATCTACCAACATGGCTAACACTACAAGCGCTGATGCCACGTTTCGGTTTGACCGCCCCTAAATTTCTTCCTGCTATGCCTAACACTAGTCAGCATTGGACGTCGTGGTAATCGGTGTTCAGGCATACGCAACACATGGCCCAACCATCTCAGTCGATGAAGATTCACAACCTCATCAATTCATTTACCATCATTCCCTAATACCCTGCGTCTAACCTCACTATTACTTACCCGGTGATCCCAGTAGATGCGAGCAATATTTCTAAGACATCTGTAATCAAATACTAGTAGCTTACGAGTATCGTCGACTCTTAATGGCCATGTTTCGCTGCTATAAATACATTTAAACTAATCTTTATTTTGACATTTCTATTTGATTAGTTCGCTGTTGTATTTACTAAGCTAATCAATACAACTAAGTCAATTGAAATAAAACCTTATTAATAAACATATTATGTAATAACTGTAAATAATAAAACCTGAATGCATTTGATACGTTTAACATTCATATGACAACAACAACAAACAAACAAACAAAGAATTTTCTTTGAACAATTTTAAGAATTCTAATAACAATGCAAAGTTATTCTCATAGTAAATTACATATAATGAAACTGATTCACTTTTGAATTTTACTCAAAAGCTTGTAAATCATAATAAAGATACTGTATTAACTCATTTCTTATGATAATGATGTTAAGGAGAACGAAAACGGTATCATTGAGAAACTAATCTGAATTCAAGAATTCCAAGTACAACTTACACATTCGAATTAATAACATTGAAAAGAGTAAAATGAAATACTGTGAAAAAATATCATTGTTGACACATACACACACATACACAGAGATGAAATATACTCTGACGACAGTTAGTGTGGATTTAGTAAATAACTATGAGTGAAGGAGATGCTTCATGCTAGAAAGACTTCAAATGATATAATTCGCGTTATCTTAGTTTTATCGACAAACTGTTACTCTGATGAATAAACAAGTCATTTGTAACTTTTTTTTCAATTCACATAACCATAGTGACCGGTTAATACGGTTTTTGGTATCTTTTGTTATTGATTCAGGTTAGACTGATGACGTGAAAATTCCTATAATTGGAGTTGAAATGCCCTTGAAAACGGAGAGTGAGTAAATATACCAAGATAACAATACTAACAACAAGCACGACAATTATATTGAATCAGCTACAATAAGGATAATGTATAAAGATGATAGAATTTCTAACGCGCTAAGATTGGGTCCTGAGTAAATCACGGTCATCATTGAATAATCACTACCGACAAGTTGATTGGAAACAATCATCATTTTTTGTCCAACTTATTCATCATGTACTCATGTATGAAAGTCTATGATATTAACTGTATGCCCGAACAGAAGTAAATAAAACAGGGTTCGAACCTGAAACTTAGTGTCAAACCTCTGAACCATTGAGCAACCGCTCCACAACATCATCATAATATCAAGAAAATTTGTCAAACAACAATTACTTGTAAGGTATATTAAGTAATGTGATAATAGAACAAATGAGAACTTACGGATTCTCTTCTGAATATGGAACAGCTGGATTTAATTTAATTGTTTGTTGTTCATTACCATTCTGTTTACTAGGTGACGATGATGAAGATGATGCTGACGAAGAAGACTTGTCAGCTGACTGTTTGATCGGTGAATTTTCACTACTACTAGTTGTTGGAGTAGTTAGTGAGCTGAAAAAGTTCACAATAGTCCCAATAACAGTAATAACGATTATGACAATGATAGTACTACGAATGACTAACTACGATCAACATCACTACATACAGAAAGGATAGTAATAAAATATAAACTAAGCAAAAGCCGGTAATAATTATATCGATGTAAGTAACAAGAGAAATAGTCAAGAGATTAATTCAAAGAAATGATTCAAGGAATTATAGTGAGAAGCTATGAACAGTGGAATCCAATCAAATGTGAGTGATTGAACGATAGGTTAACAATATCATGAAATATCATGACAGAATAGATATCAAGTGCTTTATAGTTTTCAAGGTTTACTTATAAGTAGTACGTTATGGAACGTCATGTCTAAGTTTCAATAATCGTCAGATAGAGTGAACAGTCTCAGTACAGAGAAAGCATAACGTAGGCAAAATACTTGGAGAGCAAACAAGAAGACAGTTCAGATTGCAGAACACATCGAAATATGCAAATGGATAATTGAAGGCTATGTACATGTGTTATGTAAACGCTTTGTAACTTCTCACAATAAATACAGATTCCTTCTGCATATTGCCTTATTTTACAGTCTAACTACACTAATCAATTCAAATAAATTAACCAACAACGAACCATCTTAGTCGGGTAAGTGAAGATTAACTATACAAACTACTCAGCTAATATACATCCACAAATTGATAATATGTAAAAATATGTTTATCGTTTGACAGAAAGTCACTATCAGACACAATACGTAGAAAAACAAAAAACCTTACTTTGGTATATTTGACATTGGTGGTGCTCTAGACAATGGACATTTCAAACCAGGTGACTGGGAATCTGAGCCATTCGGGCGAACCTTATCTGACATACTAAAAGTATTCATACGTCGTACAGATAACTGATCACCACCACTAGAGGATTCTATCATTATATCTTTACTTTCATCGATTTTATCTTGACCAGTAGAATCATCCAGATTAGAGTCATTAGGACGTTCGCGTAGGTCAGATACACGAATACGTGGAAGCAGATGAGATCTGTGTGTATTTAGAAAGCAAATATAAAAAAAAATAAAAAAATTAAATAAATACAAAGACAATAATGCTAACAATGTTGAAATTAACCAATCACCGCATAAGCAACAAAAGTTCGTTTATATCTACGCTAGTATCTGTCAGATATTAGCAACGTTGGATCTGGTACATGTGTATATCTGTTCAAGTCGTGACAGCACATAAACATAGAGAGCTAAATTATTAACACAAATATTAAAAGTAGTAACATTATCAGTGGTAGTAGAAAAGATTAGACATAAGCAACATGGTTCAAAAAAGAATAAATTAGAGGAATGAAAAGTTTGAGTTTCTAGACAAGGACTGAATGCATCTATGCCGTTACAACTGATTCTGAGCCAAGTTATTCAATGTCTTTAAACTTTTGTTATTGTTATGATGTGGAGAGTCTGTGTATTGATACTTATACAAAATTTTCTTACACATGAATATATATATATCAGAAAAGTAGTCCGCCAATGGCTTACGTCGCATATCTTGGACAAATTTTCATTATCGTTCCACAACGACATAGTTGTCTAGTGTTTCCTGGATTTAACTGGTTTTCAATATCGATGATTTAAATCATAAATGTTAATAGTGTTCTTCAAACTAAGTTACTTCATAAACTGATATATTATCAAACTGTAGTAATATAAACTTAAACCAATGTTCATAAAAAAAACTTCGTTTAAGATGGATTTCAGAAAAAGGAAGGAGAGCTAGAAATATAGGAAGAGTACGAGTTAGCAAAGAGGATCTCAACCAGAACGTTATGAAACAATAGTCCAGGTTATATATCATCAGGTCACTAGATTTTGTCTGTTTCTGTGACAGAGAAAATTTTCAGACAAAAAAAAACTCAATAAAAAATGATTTTGATGACGTCATTTTCACTGAAATTTGACACTAACTGGTAGCTAATGTGAACTTTTGATAAACGATAACAAAGTAGAACATGATACTTATTTCTCAATGGTAAAACGTGATTAGTTAAAAAAAACTACCTGCTTCGATTTGGGCATCGAGCAGTATCACAGCCCACACATACAAATCAAGTGACTTATGTGGCGCATATGAACAACCACTATGAAAGTGCATCTATTACATCATATAGCAATTTTAATTTCATTATGAACGATTATAAAATTTATGTGTTTGGTTGAAATACTGACCGCAGTCCAGGCTGAAGCAGGAGATCTACTCGGGAAACCTTTTTTCTGAGAATTAGAACTAATGGATACACCAGTGAAACAAAGTTAAGATATATCGTTTCAGGATATCCGCAGATAAAACTAAGTCCGTACCATTATTTCTTCCCTATAGATGCTGGTCAAACGTACAACGTTAATTTGGAATCAAGGTTTTTCAATTTCCTTAGTTGCACCTACAATACGCACTAGCCCGGTTCAGACATAGAAGACTGGCCTTTCTTTCTTTTACTTTCGCAAAAACTAACCCATAATGTGAAAGGAGTAAGAAGAGTTTCGCGAGTAATCTCATGACATCATTTACAGATGTCATTTTACCCAACTAATAGACATCTAGAATAAACCAAATCTATTCTAAGCAATCACAATACAGTAAGATGCATAGAAGGTACATCGATTTACAACGATGTGTAAAATCCTGTCTTTGTCAAAGAAAAAAAATGACTGAGATTACAGCAATGTCTACTTTAAGTATATGGTACGTCGATTTATTACAGCACTATTATCACTGATACCAGTATTATTATTTTGTTTATCTCACTGTATTAAAGTAGTGTACTTATATCCACGAGGTTCGATAATGTTCATGATTAACAGATCAAAGTATTAACATCATCTTTTTCAAAATAAACATATTTCAAGTAGGCTAAATACGTATTATAGCCTATTGACAAGAACCAAAACAAGAGTAATCATACTGAACAACATATGAAATAGTTTTATGACTAATATAATCATTATTGAATAAATTGACTGAATTGAAAAGGTTGTATTATTTGTTTTTCTTTGAGATATTATCTAAAACAGTTAGTAAATAGACACGTCAGTGAGTCAGTCAGTCTTGAACGCTGTTAGACGTATGAGAACGGTTATCACTTTCCGGTTGCCTACACAGTGGAAGGGTTCTACCGGAGTGTTGTGAACAGGGAAATAAGAAGCCCAGACAAAATACGAAAGCTATTTCTTGGGACGTTATTTCATTTTATTCAAAACTTGTAAAACACTGACATTTATTTTTGTCTCTATTTTATTCTACAGAACATAAGCTTTCGTTCGATGTATCAATCATTGCCATACCCCTTTTTGTTCCGAAAATGTTGTCATTTAAATATAATATTTTGCACCTTATTTTCTACCCTAATTCCCAGTTTTGGACATAATTGTATAATCCCAAATTATCGTACGTTGTGGTCAGGATATTCACTTATTTATCCATGTACATTTTTGCGCTAATCCGAATTCAGAGTGTTCCAACTGTCTTGTCTTCTCTTACTTGCGTGCTTGCAAGCCAATCAAGTCCTAGAATAGTCTCCTCTCTACCCCATCTCGAACTCACGCGTACTAGCCTCACGGTTAAACCGCTCAGCCTATTGCATCAAGGTCATGATCTAGACGAGACAGATCAGGGTCAAGTCATAACAAAGTATCGACGGGGTAAAAAGCGATTCAAGGTCATAACACGGAAGTACGTGAAAAGGAAATCGGATTAAAGGTGATCTTAGTGACCTGAGGGCGTGACTGCAGTACCCAAGAGACAACTACTTGTGGTCGGTCACACACGACTTTCTTGTGGGTTAGTCAGTGAAACATACATTGAATAGTAGTATTCAAATACGATATCTTTGAGGAGGCATATTTAAATATCAACACATAAGCATAAAATAGATGAAATTAGAAAAAATTACTGATAATAATAATAATAATAACTCACTTTTCATCTACACTCAATTTCTCTTGCCTATTTGATGTTGGACCCGCACTTGCACTGAAATTAAAAACACATTGAAGCGGTTTTGATGAAATAACAAGCGAATTAATCAGGGAGAGCTGAATCATTGAAACAATCACACCAGACATTCAGTCACAATTAACTCAATCAGCTCAAGTTGACATATCACACAAAGAAAAAGGATACTAACAAGATAATTAAACACACACATATTCATACATACACACTGACAAAAAAATCATTTACATGGATTTATTTCATTGGTGAATGTGAAAATTCAATTGATTTGCTAACCTTTGCTTCATCCAAGAGATACCACTGATCCGTCGTACTCCATTATATTGAGATCCACTATCGTCTTGTCCAGATTCTTCTAGATAAAAAAAACAGGAGAGATTAAAAAGTACGCTACAACTCGAAGTGCAATATTCTAAAACTAGATTTAATTCATGGGAAAAAAACCTAGTTGAGAAATAGATAGACAAACAATAAGCGATAGCATTTCATAAGTTAAACAGTTAGGATAACAGATTAAGAAAATATAAAAGGATTGATATTTTGGACACAAGAAGTATTGAAGCAGAATTCAACCATGAACAAAGTCAGTATGAATGTCACTAGAGGTAGTTGCGCAGTTGTTACATTCCAGATTTTCGACTTCTTAAAAAGATACTTATACCGGAGGAACTTGAAAAAGACAACCATTGAACGTAACCACAGGGATTAAATGGCAACTGCACTATATCAGCCACATAAGACCATCCTGTAAGTAGTGTTTCGCCCTACTAACACATAAATTTCGTGAGGGAAGATGATGCACACAATTTTCAGGAGATAACCTATTCTAAGCTCTCATTTTGTTTGGGAAAGGCAGTTTCATTGCAGATGATAGTTATCAACGGAAAACAACTTACTGGGATTTCACCTCAACAAAATTTATGGTATTTCATCGTCGAGTTTTAAATTTGATACTTTTACTCTGACCACTAATCAACCAACATAACTAGCTTAGAAACATAAGACAATTGATCTCGGTTTCTTGTTACGATGTGTAATTAAAACAACCATAATAAGGTAGCCATTACTGTCAGGCATCAAAATAGGACATCATAATGGTGCGTATATGTCCATGATTTTAAAAATTCAAATGAAAGAGAAGTGACACGATGAAAAATAACAGTGATGATAAACAAAACATCAGAAATGTAGTCAAAATGGACATATTTGATTTGCAAATATAAATTTAGGAATGATAACTATTTTATGATCTAAAGAAAGATCAATGCATCTACACCAACTATGACTGATTTCGCGCCATGGTAATAAGTTAACAGTTTTGAATTAAGAAACCCTTTAATATAAGCACAAAAGCTGTCTAAAATGAAGTAGGCGAAGCGCAGTACAAATCACTAATACAGTGTTAAAAAGTCAAGGGATTTATTCATTAGGTTATTACTGCCCTCTACGAACACATAAACTAACAAGGAATTACGTAACCAGTAAAAAAATGAACACGTGGAAGAGTAAGAAAATAGATAAATTCAAGCTACATAATACTTCACAAACATTTTAACAATAAGTAGAACAATAGTTGAAACCATGAATCGATTGAAGCTAGACCACCATGGAAAACCTGGAAGCACTGGACGGCCGTTTCGTCCTAGTATGGGACTCTTCAGCTGTGCGCATCCGCAATCCCTCCCTCCGCGGGATTCAAACCCAGGACCTATAAGTCTCACGCGCGAACGCTTAACCATTAGACCACTGAGCCGACATCGAACGGTGAAACAGTATATACATTGAATGATTACTTGTATTTTTAGTCATAAATAAAGCAATATACAAGTAACAAACTACACTATAAAATAAAATTAAGGTATGTCAATGGATACCGAAAACGTCTACATGAATCAGAGGTTATTATGTCAATCACTTATTCAATATAATAATATTTTTAACAGAGGAAGGGTTTGTTTCATTATCTTCTTTCATTAATCACCTATAATAAAACCATACAAGGATAATATGAAAGTGTCCTCAAAAAATCTTAAATTTTGTAATATTTTATTAGTGAGACTATAATTTATGGACGATCTATTAGCGACATTGAAGTGAACTTGAAAATGAACACCTACTGATTAGAACTAAAAAAGGGTTATAAAGCAGTCAGAATTCTCATTTACAGTTGATGGTTAAAGATAAAAATAAGATTACGGGTTTTCATCACGAGCTGACATCAGTTATAATGCAAAAACTCTATTAAACCAAATGTATGAATGAATTTTGCGCTAAATTTCGTGACATGTCTCAAAATCATTTGCAACAGCGCAGGTCCACTCAATATTTGTGTTCTCCGAAATTCTAATCTTCTGAATTCTTTATGTCCCTTTTTTTCTCTTGTCAAATTTATTTCAATGGATTAGATTTCTTGACCAACATCTTTAAACCCTAATCTTTCCGATTACTGATTATACTTTTACTACCTCTACCGCTACGGGATTTGAATAGACAATTGTATCTGTGTGCAAATGTGGTATGACAACTCGAACTGATTACATACGTACGAAGTTCTATGTTGTTACTGACTGATTCATAATCTTATATTTGATTGGTTCGTCCATAAATTATAGTCTCACCACTTTATTCATCGTTTTCTCTGAATTTTATTGTCAAAACTTAGTTTGACACTAATAATAATATTATTATTTAAACAGATTTGCTTTCTATTCTCTATTCTCTAATTGACGGTATCACTACGTTATACATCAATAAAACACAAGTTGTAACAGAATGATTAACGAAAAACTTCATCAAATTATACACAAAAACTTGAAAGCTAACAAATTTTGGCGAGACTATAACTTATGGACGAATCAGTTAGGTTTACAACAATGTCTCGACTAAATAGCATTTTAGCCCCCCCCAATTGCCCTGGTACGGCCGATAGTAGGGAGATTCCGCTCTCCCTCTCGAAATGCTCTCACATGGCCACGCATATATAGCCTTTGCCAGGGAAGTTCTACTCACTGCCTTCTCGTGGCGAAGGCGCTGTTTACGAAAATGAAAGGACGAAAGCGAATGTCCGGCGCTTCAACCGGATTTCAAACCAATGATGCACATGGGCTCTAGTATCTTACGAGAACAAATGGCATATGAAGCAATTGTTGGTCACCGGCTTCCATGGGACTGCATCTCCTTAAAATGCTCCACTGCCTTGTGGATCAAACCTTCAGGTCAAAGGCTCCGGTTGTGGCCCCCTAAGAAAACCACCTGCTTCGCAGTTTGGGCACCCAGGCAAGTATCACAGCCCTCACACATATCGAATGAGATTTGTGTGGCGCATATGTATTTGGTGCCTCCTTGTACCGATATCTATGTGTTAAAATAATAATAACAATAAAGTTCGTGATAGAAACCTTAATTATCAATTGTAAATCATAATTCTAATTTCTCGTACTAGTTTATAGGTGAATATATTAAAGGTTATTTCAGTGTCCCCTTAAAAAATCATCCATAAATTATAATCTTATCAAACAACAATTAAAATATATTCTGTCAATACTATCAAAATTATCAATTGATTATGTCAATTCATCTTATTGTAAACTAGTTTACTGATCAATGGATTATTAGCAATGAAAACAATATCCAAGAGAATAACAAAGATAAATAAAAGATTAACACAAGTACAATGTAATAAAAATACCATACGTTGTCTTTCTTTCTTTCTTTCCTTTTTTTTAATCACCACTATAATCAAATGATAAATATTTCATTTGAATTAGTAAAGTACAAGTGATTATTCATATAAAAAATATATTAAATTAACAGTTACACGTTACATAAATATACTCATGTCATATGAGAAGGGGTTTTGTGGATAATAGAGTAATTTCAATGATTGAGATCATGAGACAACCATGGAAAACATAGAAGCACTGGACGGACATTTCGTCCTATTGTGAGATTCCTCAGTGGCAACGTGCATCCACGATCCCGCCTCACGAGATTTGAACCCAGGACTTATCAGTTTCTTACGCGAGCGCGTAACCACTAGACCACTGAGCTGGCATCCAACGGTGTTAATATATATGCTAATGTCATATTACCTACATAAAATAAATAACCTGTTTGATTATTTAGTTTCCTTTTTTTTCTGAGAAACATTTAATGGACTAAAATATACATGGGGCCCATTGACTATCTTCATCGTCACACTGACAAACAAATGCACTGATATATGAAGATAAATTTATGATTAAAATTTCTGATATGTAATTACTGTGTACGTTGCCAAAAGACCAAAGATAAGCGAATCGAAGTATGGTGTATGATTATTATACATCTTCAGAAAAAATAACAAATAAATAACTATAAAGAAGAATGAAACGTATTATCTAGAATAATAAAACAGATAATCTCTTTGAACGGAGTTTTCCTGTTACAGTAGAAAACTGTTTATTTTATTAATATCAGAACAAGGAGGCACCAGATACATATGCGCCACACTTGGTCATTCGATTTATGTGAAGGATGGAATACTGTCCGAGCACCCAAACTCAACCAGGTGGTTTTCTTAGGGGCTCCACACCAGCAGCCTTCAACCTAAAGATCTGATCCACAAGGTAGTAGAGCAACGTCACGAGGTGCGGTCCCATGATATCCGGTGACCAATAATTAGTTCATACGCCATTTGTTCCTTCAAGATGATACTAGAGCTCATTTGCACCACTGGTTTGGAATCACGGTTTTCCAACTTCCCTAGGTGAACACTCCATATTCACTAAGCCGTTTAAAGCGCCGGACATTCGCTTTTCGTGTTGTCAATTTGGTAAACAACAGTAATGTCGCGATAAGGCAGTGACTGTATGCATGTGACCATGTGAGAGCATTTTACGAAGGAGGGCTGACCCTCTCCACCCTCGACCGTACTCAAATACTCAGTATACACCACAGCAGATTGATAACTGATAATAAGTAAACTGAAGATCTACGATTACAATGAAGTACCATTTAAAGAATTCGATAAATGAATGAAAATTGTAATAAATAAAACTTAAGTCCGACTAAGTTGTTGCATCATTTCATGGAGTTATTAACCATTAAACTAAGCCTGTTTAGATATTTATTCTCCTCGAATTATATACTGTATGTCAGTAATTGTCTAATACAACTGCTACTATTCTGTCTTGATCATTCCAACCTCCTATGTTAATATCGTGTAACAGTTTGAACTGATTACTCCCCGAATTTCCATGTCACTTATTAACCAAGTAAGAAAGGTTCCATCAGTAATCTGAACTGCACTTTTATTATGGTTAAAGGTTAATAGATTATTCTATTGTATGTATAGAACAGAAATCAGACCAGAGA